TTTTATTTTTCTAATATTCAAATTAGAATCTAAATATAATATCTAAATTTTATTTATTTATTAAAAAAGAAAATGCAACTAATGCTAATATCAATGTCACAATCACTATCACTAATGCCAGTATCACCAATGCCAATACCAGCACTAATGTCAGTGTTAATGTCAGCACTAATACCAGTGCTAATGTCAGTGCTAATGTCAGCGTCAATGCCAATGCCAATGTCAATATCAGAGTCAATACCAGTACCAATGTCAGCACTAATGTCAGCACCAGTACTAATATTAATACTAATACCAGCATCAATGTCAGCACTAATGCTAGTGCTAATGCTAATGCCAATGTTAGAGCCAATGTTAGAATCAAAACTAATGTCAAAACTAAAGCCAATACCAAAGCCAGTGTTACCTCTAATATTAGTAAGAAAGCAAGACTTTCAAGGGATTATTTAGGTAACTTTTAAATTTTTATTTTTAATACATAATAAAAATTCTTAAATTTAATTAATATTAAAACAAAAAAAAATGAAAGTAAAGCCAATACCAATGATGAAGTCAATAAAACTAGCATCACTTTTAGTATTACCTCTAATTTTAATGCAAAATTTAATTTATCTTATGATAAAAATTTAGGTAAAACAAAATTCTTATTAATTTACTATATAAATGATAATTTTTATATTAACTTTATATTAACAAATATTAAAGAAAAAGAAAATGAAGATTCAATTAATGAAAATAAAAACGGTAAAAAATTTATCTTTTTTTTTTTTACAAATTTATAATACTCATTTTTTTATATTTATTTTAATTAATTTATATTAAAAGAAAGATTATAGAAAAGAACAAGAAGTGCAAAAAGGGAAAAATTTAAAAAATATTGATTTTTTAATTTTTTTTAATTTTTATTTTTTTTTTTTTAATTTTTAAATTTTTATTATATTAATAAAATTTAAATTGTTTAATTAAAGCATATAAAAATATATGTTTTTCCATGATTTTGCATTCATTAAAGCATTATAAAATATCTGTTTTATCCGTAATTTTTGCATCCGTTAAAATATTATAAGATATATATTTTTTCCTTATTTTTTGTATACATTTTTTCCCACTTTTCCATATTAAGTTTATGCATTATAAAATATACGTTTTGTCTGTAGTTTTTGCATCTGTTAAAGCATTATAAGATATACATTTTGTTCGTGATTATTGTATACGTTTTTTCCCACTTTTTCATATTAAGTTTAAGGTTTTTACTTAAGAAAAAAACGTATACATTATACTGAAATTCCATAAAAATTATATGTTATAAAACTTTATATTTTTATGGAATTTTTATATCAAATTTTTTATTGGACTAACTAATTGCTATATTATAAACTAACTAATTTAAAAGATAAAAGATAAGTAAACTAAAAATTTTAATTTATAAAATTAAAGTTATTATCAGTATTTAAAAGATTAGCAGAATTTATATCTTTCATATTTTCAGAATTCAAAGAATTATAATATTTTCAGAATTTTATATTAAGAAATCATTATATAACATAATTTATATAACTTTATTTTTATTAAGTAATTACTTTGCTAATAATAGATATGTACTATTTTATTTCTTTTATTATTATTAATTATATTTTTTACTATATTAAACTAGATAGAAGTTTTATTTATATTAAAAATATTATTTAAATTATGCTTTTAATTTTATAATAAATTTTTTAAATTTTTTAACTTTTCTTCTATATCTTTAGATAATTTTTGTAAAATTTTAATTTTCTTCTTAATGATAGTTTAAATTTTTCATAAAATAATTAATCCAAAAAAATTTTTCTTAAATTTTATATTTTTTTATTAATTATAATAATTAAATAGCAGATTTTTTAAGTTTATATATTTATAATCTAATAAAAAGATAATTAATAGATAAATCTTTTTTCTTTATTTAATAATTCAATTTTATTATAATAAGAGAATAATTGATTAAAAGATCAGCTAATCTAATAAATACATATATTTAAAATTATATTATGTTAAATGATAGAAATAGCAAAGATAAAAAAATAAATTAAACAAAGATTATGTAAAAAAAAATCCAAAATATATCAGAACTTTTTTTTATATTATTAATTATTTTATATTATTAAAATATAAATAATTATAAGATTTAATTAACAAGGTTTTAGAAAACTTAAATAATTTGAAGAATTTAATTTAGATTTATTAAATAAGATAAATAATATAATTGTATTGAATTCTTTTTCTTTAATAAAATCCTAATTACTTACCTTTAATCACATATACTTTACTCTTATTTGTATAATTTTTTAGAGTTCTTTTTAAGATATTAATTTAAACTAAATCTTTTGTTAATATTATATAAATATTAATTTTAATCATTAATATTGTAAAATAATAGTATAGAGATTTTTTATTTTAAGATTAAAGTTTTTCTTTTAAAGCATTTATTTCTTTTATTTTCTTTTTGTAATATATTATTTTATATAATTTATCTTTTAATCATTGAATTATTTAAATTAAAATACTTTTTACATATTTTACTTATTTTTTAAACATATTTAGTTACTATTAATTTTCTTTAACTGAGTATAATGTTTACTTTCTTAAGCTTACTTTTTTTTAATCATATTTTTTTTAAATATTAAAAAAATTTGCAAATAAATAAATGTAAAAAAATTAAAAGTTTTTTTATAATAAGTAAATAGTAAATATAAAAATCAATTCTTTTTATTTATAATAAAACAGATGGTAGATATAGGAAAAAATAAATTTTATATATAAATATAAAAGAAAAAAAAGTAAAAAATTTTATAATAAATAAATGATAAATACAAAAAAAATTTTTTTTTATTGATAGTGATAATGAATAAATAAAAAAAAATTAATCTTTATAATAAAATTTATAAATGAATAATAAAATTATTATTATTTTTAATATATAAAAAATTAAAAATATCATAATAAATATCATTATCAATTTTAATGATTATGTGATTGCAAAAAGAGGGTGATTAATTCAAGATTTTATGGTAATATATCTATTTTTCTTATTTATTTTAATAATAAATTCTTTTAAATTTTAAATCATTTTGATATGTAAATATTAAATATATAATTATACTACTAGATTAAATAAAATAATATATTATATGATTATATTAATATATTATTGTATTAAATCATGCTAAATATATTGTATAATAGAAAAATTTGTTTACAGTATTATTTAAATTATAAGTATAGGTATTATAATCACGTTTAAGATATTATAATTTATGGTAAATTATATAAATTATAAAAATGTTTAATATTACAACTTTATTATAAAAATATTATTTTTTGATAATTAATTTAAAATTGACTATAATTAACAAATAAATTTCAGGTAAATTTGTTTGCAAAACCATTGAAATAAGATAATTATAAATCTTAAGTTGAAGATAAAAGAACCTAATAAGTAGAAGAAATAAATATTCAGATACAATTTTAAATATGAACAGGTGTTTTTGAAAAAAAAAAAGAGAACTGTAAAAGAATTTCTTATAAAAAAAATATAATAATAGAAATAATATACTCTTTTATTGTAGTAAATCTATCTTTAAATTTATTTTACTTTGTATGATAATTTTTAAAACCTTTGAATAAATAGTAAATAGCCTTAACAACGTATAAAGAATTTTAAGATTTTAATATAATAAATGATATAAATTTATTCAAAAAAGATTTGGATTTAAATCGTACCCGAGATATGATAAAAGATAAAAATAGCAAATAATACTATATACGATACGATGTAATTTATACAAATAAATGATAGAAAAACGTTTCTTTAAATAAAAAAAGAAAATTTCTAACAGTTGAAGTCTGAAACTTATGATAGATGCAATCTATTTAATTTTGACTTGGTTGTTTGTTCACTTGATACCAATCTATAATTTATAATAGCTATTTCCTTTTATTTTTTTAAAATTTTTAAACCACCCTTTTATATACTAATTGAATTTCATTTGTAACAATTTAGGGACATAATAAAGAAACTCCAGTAGCAATTGAAGTGCCTAATAACGTAAAGAGTCCGAGATAACCAAAAGCACCTCTCAATCTATTCTTTGGATTACCGGAATAATAACCCCAAGCAAAAAACAAACGACCTATTGTCACCAAAGAAAAAAAGAAGAGTTAGGATAATTTCTTCAGAACTATTACAAAGTAAATTTAAAGTTACCTAAAATCCAAATTCCACCAGCAACCGAAGAAATGACTGGATATTTAATTCCACCAGCAAGAAGTCTAAAAAAAAAAAAAATTTTTTTTTTTACGAATATTAATAATATCCCTTAAGAAATTTTTTTTTTAACGAATTCCAATATTTATTATACATACAATAAAAGAAAGCCGGGATAAACTTCCAAGGTATTCTGAAAATAAAAAAAAAACAAAAATTTTTAGACTCCAATTTGATGATTTGGAAATCAACCCATTATTCTTTAATTTTAATATTATTTACCTGATGAGCTCTTTGATAACAATTGAAGAGCATATTCTTTTCATCTTTTTCGCATTCTTCTTTTGTTGCATAAACTTTATTGTTTTTTAAGAGTAAAAAGTTAATTAAAATTAATTTTATTTTGAAAAAAAATAATATTAAACATACTATACCATGAGGATAAGGAATTCCTGCATTTTTACGTGCTCTTCCTACTTTTACGCCAAGGTAAGTTGTTAAGAATACCGAAGCAACTCCAGTCAAAATAACCTAAATTTTTGATTTATAAAATGTATTTTAACAAAAAGGTAGTAAAAAAAAAAGGTTGTATAATAGAAGGAATTAATACTTACATATCCAAATTCTTTTGTAAGTTCAATGAGAACCATCGTTTATTATTTTGTCTTTTAAAGAAATTTAATTTCAAAAGATTTATATTTTTTTTTTTAAAAAAAGAGAGAAAAAGGGGGATATGATAAAAAGTAGATGGATTTAAGAAATCGATTTATGTGTTCACAATAGGAAATCTAAAGCGAAATTTACTTCTATTTATATTATCTTCAATTATTTAATTAGTAATCAAAAGACTGGGATACATTTCCTTGTGGAAGGTTTTTTCTTCTCACGAGCATTACAAATCAAAATTTCTAGAAAAGAAATTCTACCTAAGGGACACGTATACCTTCTTGTTCTTTCATGTATTGGTTCTTTCGTTGAGTCAGATGGATCAACGGACTGTAATTCTTCCGATTAGTTTGCTTAGAAATCAATAATATATCGGATAAATTTTACAACTTATGCATTTAATTTCACAAAAATTTAAAAAAAAAAAATTTTTTTTTTTTTTATTGTTTTAAATATGATATATAAAAAAAAAAAAAAAAAATTAAAGAGGAATTAAGAAATATCACCATCCTCTATTACCACCGCTACCACGCGGATTTCCACCACGATTTCCACCACGATTGCCACCACGATACATACCAGCATTCTCGCCATGTGAATACATTGCTTTCCCACGACTTCCTCCTCTTCCCCGTATCCTTTCAACAACTCTCTTTGGAATATTATCAAGTTTTTCCATAACTTCTTTAACATCATTATCATTACATTCATGAATATCATGAGGTTTAACTCTTAAAATTCTTTCAAAACCTTCATTATAATCAGGAGATGTGTAAATCTGTTTAAAATTTTCTAAAATTTCTAACCCTTTTCTACCCTGTACATTAGTAGGATGATTTTCTCTATTCCATATCCGTTTCTCGCAAATTTCATATGATGTATCCAATATTATTGCATCGATTGTTAAATTAAATTGAATTGCTAAATCTACCCATGTTTTACGTTGTTGTTTGTCAAAATTACATCTGTCCACTATTACATTTTTTCCCTGTTATAGAAAAAATGTGAGAATACAGAATGGAAAGAGAATACAAGGATATATTGAATGATACCTTATTGATTTGAAGTCTTGAAATGTTTTCACATGCTCTTCGACTTCCTAAATCATCTTGATTTATTCTATACCAATTCTACAATTTCAATATAAAAATTCAAGTTATTATTTTTTTTAAACTAAAATCAAATTAATTAATAACGAATGAAACTACTCACATTGTCGACTTTACATAATTTTTTAGAAAAAGTTGATTTACCGGATCCTGGCACCCCGACACAAACTAAAATTCTTTGTTTCGGTTTTTCATTCTTTGTCGTATCATCGATTACATCATCATGTATTGTTAACTTAACATTTAGAACTTCGATTAATGATTCATGATCTATATCTGATTTTACTTCTTTAACAACAATATCTTTGGAAATCTGATTGAAATTATCATTCATAATTTGATTGTTTAAATCGGAGCAAAATGAAAAAAAAAGAAAATATTTCGTCTATTATATTGTTTAGTGTAACATGTGACCCTTTTTTTTGGGTTGCACGTCTAAAATGAAAATCACTGCGGATAATAATCACATTCATTGTTGTTTTAATGAAAATCATTCAGCAGGTTTATATAACACAAACTCCTTATAAAAGAAGGCATCAATGACGATGATCTTTTTTGCGACCCGATTTCGGATATGAAGAGAAAAGGATTATTATTCCGAAATTACCTGTTTTTGACTTGATTTCGTTTCTTTCGTCATTTTTTTTTCTACATGGAAAGGCAAAACATTACACTATGATTGAAAAATGACTTTCGTGATGGTATTATCACGTGTCGTTGCACATCAAAAGATCACCCGAACCTTAAGTTACTGCATATTTACGCATTCCTTATGTTTTGTTACCTTAATAATTACATTTGTTAAATTTCTCTTTTGACAATTGCAATATTTGGTAAATGTAGTGTCGACGGTACGATATGCCTTTTTGTGATTCCTAGTTTATCGCTAACAGGAACTATTCTTAATAGAAATGTTGGCAGCTAAATACTTTGTTATTTCCCAACTTGACCACTTGTTTGAATTGCAGTGTCCTTCGGGACAACATTCTAATGCATAATGTTTTCTTTCATTTTTTTCTCCTTATGTACACTCAACGTTCGTTTTTTTTTTTTTTGTAAATTAACATGATAAAATTTATAAATTTGAGGGTTCACAAATCAAAAGAATAAAGTAATTTATAAATGATCAAAAGAAATGAAATTTCTTTTTTTATTTTGAAAAGAATCAAGCTTATTAAATATCTTTTACTTAATGGCTTTATTAGTGTATCACTAATAACGCGCTTGAGCATTGGATTGCATTCTATTATTCTATTAAATGTCTAATCCTTTTCTAGATTCTTTAATTTTTTCTTCTTTTCTTTTTTCTTTGATTTTACGTCTTTCTTAATCGATTTCTTACTATTAACCAAATCAATATCAATATCACGTTTCCTTTTCTTGTTACTATTACCAACCAAACCTGAACTCAAAGCATTTTTAGACATGTTCGCGTCTTGTTCATTACTAACGAAACCCGTGCAAACTCCCATACTAAAGCTAGGTCGTTCATCAATCTCAGCATTCATCTTATTACAATCCGCTAGAGGGAAAAAAAGAGATCGCGAATTATTTTGAGATCTTAAGGGATTACTTTTTTAAAAAAAAAAAAATAAATAAAAGGTTTTTAAAGACTTACACAGACCACTATTCGCAATTCCTGATAATTTTAACCCTTTCATTTTTTGGGCAAAATATTCTTGAGCGCTCATTTCATTAACGTTAGTCACAATATCCTCTTTCCTTATACTTTTTACAGAATTGTTCTGATCCGATTCATCAATTTCACTTGAAGACGCTGTCGTCGTAATAGTTGTAATTACTTTATTACTTTTTGAAGAAGGCGAGTTTGAGATATTATTCAAATCATCAAAAGTATCTTTATTTGATTTTATACCAAATATTTCATTTAATCTATCGGAATTTTGTATAGCGGCTTTTTTGCTTTTAAGGAATTTAGCTCGATGCCTATTTAATTAAAAGAAAGAAAAAATATGAATATGTATCTTTGTAATAATTCGGTCACATTTTAAAGATTTTACTTACGCTAAACGAATTGAAGATAAACTCCCAGACTCACTAGTATTAGCTGTTGAGTCATTAGTTGATGATGAGGAACTTTTATTCTTTTCTTTTCTTTTCTTTTCTTTTTTATCTTTTTTCTTTTTCTTGGAATTAACTTTTATTTCCTCATCGCTACATTCTTTACCTTGTTTTTCATTTAACCCTTTAAGTAATGAATCAAATGCGCTAGAATTATCTAACCAGTTATCAATAGTTTTTTTTGTGGCTCCAACACCAAGATTATCTTGTTTAAGTGAAAGTTTTATATGCTCTTTTGCACCATCTTCATTTACACCTAATCCTTTTCCTGGTAACCAACCCATCTTTGATAACATCCTATAACCAAATTTATCTTGATCTATATCAAAATTTCAAAGTTTCATAATGGAAGTAAATTTGAGTTAACGAAATGTATTTTGACGAAAAATTATAGAGGATACTTTCATTAAAAGAGACGCTACCATTACTCCATGCTAAGTTTCTAGGGTCAGCGGATATCCTTTGTTTTATTCTTGGTTCCGCTAAACCCATCCTTTAAAAGGTTTAATTTTTTATTTTTTTTTGAAAATAAATAGGAAGAACGTATTAATGATTATCTGAGATCCCGAAAAAATTAAATTTTTCATCAGTCACGTGATTACGTACTACTTATGAATTTGGGCCTAACCGAAAAAGTCAATTTCTAAATTTAATGACGACAATTCTGTGCGTCAAGAATTATGACGTTTTCACAAGTTGAGGTCATTTGCTGACTTTGATGTTAGCAAGAAAAAGCTTGGATATATTCTCGCATGACATATATTGATGGTTTGAAATCTAACTAACTTAGACTCAGCAAAATTTTTACAAGAAATCATGCGCCAAGCATTTTACAGAAATCATGAGTGCTATTAATGATCAAATCTTTACTCCCATCGTTATAACTTGTTTTGTAATATTCTTTTTTTTATTTGTGGTTGTATTAACGATATATTATCATGTAAAACAGCAAGATAGTCAACATTATATGATAGTAATTTTTGGGATAAATCGATCCAGAAATCAATCCTTACAAAAAAAACAATACAAATTCCCAAGATCATACGATTTATTTCTCGGAATAATGTTTCACCGATCCAATGAAAATTTTGTAAACTGTTTGTGGGAAACAATTGCATTTTGATTGTCGGCTTTCTTTCACAAAATTTTTTTAAATTTCAACCATAGTTTGTAATTGTAATGGAAAGGATTATTAGAAATTTAGCGAGAACTTCATTTAAATCTAATGTTTACTTAAATTATCTAGCAATACGAACACGAACCATAAACCCTAATAACGTTCGCTCAATAACAACGATTATTGAAGATAAGAATTATAAAGGACTTTACTATCATCCAACACGTGATAAAACCGATTACTTGTTATCATTCCTCGCTGATAATGACAAAATCGATAAATTTTTTGACGTAACAGTAATAGGAAGTATTCCTTTTAAGTCAGAAGTTGCAGATAACAATACACCCAAAATTACCCCACAACATTTTATTGAAAATAAAAAGTTTACACGAATTCTTCATCAAGTTATCGCCGAGAATGTTTACTCTGATGTACAGTTACAAGGTTTAGCGAAATATCATCAGAATGGGTAAGTTCGAAATTTGAGATAAAATATTCAATCATGCAACAATTTTTTTTTTTTTTTTTTTTTAAGGATAGCGTGATTATGCTAACAAGTTTTTTTGATTGATGAACAATTAATAAGATGGCTTCATGTAGCAGGTACGTTCGATCTCATGATCACTGCATATTTCCATTTTATAACTCATTCAAACTTCTTTACTTGTGTGTATAGATGCAAGAGATCCAGCACCTTGGGGACGAATACCATATCCTGAAGACATTTTTGGTATGATTCAAGTAATAGATGGGCAAATCGTTCGCGGAACATATCAGCCCATGCCAACCCATCGTATGGTCACTGCAAAAGGGCTCTTCATGTTAAATGATCCCTTACAAGAAAAATTATTAGAAAAGGTGAACAAGTTATGTAAATAATTTTTATACAATGATTTTTAGGATACATTTAATGATGCGCAGCAATAAATCATGATGGAATGGTGCTAGTCTAATAAATTGGTCCTACATTTACATCACGTGTAACATTAAAAATGGAGGTCATCACCCAATTGATCTAATTGATTTAATCATTGGTGTAGTTCAAATTAAGCCGTATGTCATGTTGAGTTTAATTATGGCATTGAATGACGCCTTGGCCGTTTTATGGCTGTTGCGCAAAAACATACAAACAAATAAAAGGGTTAAATTAGATTTATAAAAAACAAACAATAACTAATTTAACATTTAGGATTGGGTTAAAAAAGATGAGATAAAAAGAATCCCATATGGATTCAAAGTAAATAATGTGATGTTTCAACCGTTTTGCTTCATGACGTATACTCTTTTTAATCGGCGCAACGAGAAAGTCGGGAAAATTAGGTTCGGATCATTAGGATCCAAATTTAAGCTTTAAGCAATTTTTGTTGAACCTTTTTGCTTTTTAAATTTAACTTTTTTTAGTAATTATCCTTGACCTCCAATTTTAAAATTTCACGTTTGATTACGAGACTTTAAATTTTGATGTAATATCAATGATTATTTAAAAACTTCAATACATGATAATAAACGTGCATTATTATGTATATCCTATTATCTTGAAATTCTTAAATTCTTATCCCATATCTTATTCCAAATTTGATATAATTAATAAAATTAAATTCATTTAAATTTTAATTGTTTTTTTACGGTAATTATATCCGTAAATTAGTTGATATTAATTAATTTTAACAACAAAAATCGAGTTGAAATGCACATAATTTGTTTTGGGGGGATTGTTGATCATCATTACATTTTAAGATAATCCGGATTTTTTTTTTTTTTTAAAAAAAAAAAAGGATAATGGTGGCTTTTTTTCTTGCGTAAGTTAGCATATTGTCAAAAAAAAGGTTTTTTTTTTTTTTTTTTTTTTTTAAAAAATTCATCGTCAATCGATCAACCATCGAAAAAAAAAGGTGCCCTCTTAGTATCGGACCTTGCATATTTGGCGCAGTTACTATCATGAAGTTCCTTTTTTTACCCCAATAAATACCTAGATCAAGATTGTCGATAGATGTCAATATTTTTCAATTATGCACGTACACATCGATGATACGAATATAAACAGTTGTCAAACCATACAAACATACACAATTAATTCAATCGAGAAAAATATTAAGCAATTGGGCGTTTGAGTGACAGTTTATTGGTCGTGACAAAACAAAATAAGCTATATAAATTCACACTATCTTTTTTTCCTTTTTTTTTTCTTTCCTCGCTAGAGAGGCATTATAACGGTACTTTCTCTTTTGAATAGATTCTTTTTTTATTTACATTAACCTTATTTCCAAATAAGGACTACTTGAGTAACATTTTAATCTCTTGTTGGTATATTTATATTGTTTGGAGTTAACTAGAATTTGTCTAGTTATCAAATATCTAAAATATCTGCGGATCTACTCATGTGTTAAAAGGAATATTGAGGGTTCGATAACTTTGTTCAAAAAAAGAAATCCGGTTTTAATTACCTGTGAATATCTGACGTATACAACGATCAACCCGCTTAAATCCCGTTTTAGCATTTTTGTGTTTAAATGAACAGGTTGAAACTGTGAAACTCGAGAATTCAAAAAGGAATTTCGCTTTTTTTTTTTTTTTCTCACTGTTTTAAGGTCGTACACAAAAAAGAGTTATTCATCATTTTTTTTTTTTTCGATAGAAACAAAATCCCCCCAAAAAATTTTCATATAAATATTCATTTTTTATGTCTTTCATAAATTCAAAAAAAAAAAAAAAAAATTTATTCATTTACAAATTACACTTCAAAAACACTTTGACAGTTCAAAAAAATTAGCTGTGTATCCTTGTTCGGAATTTTCAATTCTAATATATATACAGTTTGACGGTGTATTTGTAAAGAAATAATATATATATATATATATATATATGTATATGTAATAAAAAAAAAAAAGAAGATATTATCATTCATTTTCTCTTTTATTAAATATTAAGTCTTACACACAAACACTTCTTTATATAAACAACACTTTCGCACGAACGATATACAAATATCGGATAATAACATGGTACATTATAATTACTATAACTATCCACGAAACCTTCGCTTCTACCATCCGTCAGATAAGGTCGGTCTTGTTGGCAAGAGTGCCGACGAAAATGAGAAAAGTTCGGGCGGTGCGGGAGAACCGCCCATAATATCTAAATTACCAAACGAGGATTCTCTCACAAAAGAAATAATGTTACTCTATAAGGTAGTTGTCTCGCAAACTTTTCACAAAAGTAAATTAAAAAAATTACAAGAACATTTGGCAATGTTAGCTGTTCGAGCGTACGTGAATGGTCGTAGTATGTTTAACAAACTTTTTCATTTTTTTTATTTTTGCTCAATTCTTTTGTCTTTTCTTCCTCCCTGCATAAAAAAGTCACTACTTCCAACAAACGATTCGGATTATAAACGAATAGATTTCGCTGATAAAATTGAAAAATTACTAAACGACGAATGGCCAGGACATGACATTAAAGTACATATGTTTGGGTAATTATTATCATTTTATGCATTTTTTTTTTTCCTTTTTTTTTTTAAAAAAAAAAAAAGGTCACGTACCTTTCCTTCCATCAAGTTAACAAATGACATCTTTCTTTTTTTATTTTCTTAAATCTTTTTCTTTTAGTTCCTCCATGAATCTACTCGGAACAACACAATCTGATGTAGATTTATGCGTTAAAACACAATGGAATGGATTAAAGAGCGTGCAAAATTTATCCAAATGCCTGAAAAATCGTGAGTATCTCATAACTATATAGCGTAAACTTTCATTGTTTAACTTCACATCAACATATGTTTCCTTATTCATCTCATCTCTTTTCTTTAATAAAGGCGGCATGGAAATATTACAATGCGTGCCCAAGGCCAAAGTGCCGATAGTAAGGTTATGGGATCCAAGCCTGTAAAGATCATAACTGATTTTGACATTGATCAGTATTTATATCTCTCTTTCGCTAATTTAACCGGATAATTAATTTCTGATTCTTATCAATTTTTCCGTTAGAGAATTGGCCTGTGATATAAATATCAATAATACACTAGCGCTACATAACACACGTTTAATACGGAATTATGTGACAATCGATTCAAGAGTACGACCATTAGCAATGGTCGTAAAACACTGGGCACGAAAACGGGTTTTGAATGATGCAGGTGAATTTGAAAATCTCGTTTTAAATCATTTAAACAATGTTTGTACTGATCTCATTATATTCGATATTAAGCTAAGGGTGGTACGATCTCAACATACACCTGGACTTGCATAGTTTTGAATTTCCTCCAAATGCGAAATCCTCCGATACTACCGGTTCTTCACAATTTACCACATGATGATGTTGAGCCAATAATAGTGAACGGCGAAGATGCATCATTTTACGAAAATGTGTTGACTTTAGAAGGATTTGGTTCAAAAAATAAAGAATCAGTTGGTGGTTTATTGTTTGGATTTTTTAGACGGTAAGCATATGATAGTCATCATTTCATTTTATGATGAATAGATTGTAACTTGGAAAAAAAAAAAAATATTTTTTTTTAGCATGGCTTATGAATTTGACTATGAGAAACACGTAATATCGTTGCGTCATGGCAAATATCTTACAAAAGCGGAAAAAGGTTGGGACACGTGTAAAGGTTGGAAAATGTTATGTGTCGAAGAACCCTTTAATACGACAAGGAATCTTGGAAACAGTGCCGACGACATCAGCGTAGAGGGGTTAAAGGGAGAGTTCCGAAGGGCCTATAAGATTCTTTATGACAGTGCCAACTTAAATGCGTTATGCGAGCAATACATTTCCACCCATCAGTATAATAATAACTACTATAATTATCGTAGCAATAAGAGTAATTATGTATGGAAGCCGAATAATAGAAAACCTGGATATCCTCATTATAAGTACCATCAGAATGGTCATCAGGGCGTGCGGACGAATCATGACTGTGATACGATCGACAATTTTCATGACATGAATGGGAAAAGTTCTTACCCTCAAGATGCTCGATATGTTGAGGGAGATGAATCTAACGCCCCTAATACACCGAGATTTGTCCAAGCTGATGATGTTCCTTCATCGAGAAAGGATGTTTTTTGTCCGACAATTAATGGTGAAGAGTTTACCCAAACATCAGAAACGATGCACGTGGATACTAGGCGTATGAATGGCTACTATGAGAACACTGATGTTGACAAATTTAATGCTTATCAAAATCGAAAAAAAGTCGTTTCTGAGGATGATATTCCTCCAAACAGACGAGAACGCACTGCTTTTCCCGAGAAAATCGACGATGAAAGTTCATTTGCATCCCCGACGACAACTCACGATAATTCTCAATTTCGTTATAATGTTACATCTACGGACCCGAAAAATGATGAGCAATTTTCTTACAAGGGTCCTTCAACAAGACAATATAAGAGCGATAATTTCAATCGACAGGGTTCTATGAAGAAAAAGAATGACAAACGGTATTCACACACAAGGTCTTTCAACATCGATCATAATTTTTCCCGTATTTCTGTTCATGATTCAGTCCCGTCACATTCTGTTCATAAGTCGAATCAGGATATTGAAAATGAAGAATCGTCAAAGCATTTTTCACCGAATTATAATGCTAACACGACTCCGAACACCTTTTACAAACATAACAACCAAAAAGCTGACAATAACTCATATCAGAAGCATTCTCGAACACAGTGCAGTTCACCATTGCGTTATCATAATTCTCCTCGTTCGGACCGAAGATCTAGTTTTTCGCAAAATTCGGATTCACCTTATAATTCGGATGTTAAATATAATAATAATAATGGTTATTCAAATTATTCACGTCGTTCGAATACTCCTAGCGACTTGGATCAAAAGCCCTATTTGCATAATTTGGAAAGTAATAATAAAGGAAATCAGAGGGTAATAATGAAGGAAATTGAAGGATGATAATCGAAGGTAATGGTAAAAGAATCAAATATTTTTAATTTAATAAA